GAAAGTGCTTTAACGTCTTTCTGCGTCATTTAACAGATGCATAAGCTACTGGCTTATCAAAGTCGTCCTCATCCTGTTTTTTAAATGAAACGCATTCTACACAGTATCCACTATCATCTGTTGTTAAACTAAATGGTTTTTCGAAGTTCGGGTGAACAATACAGGTGGCTCACACAATTTGGGTTTTAACAGTTCGAAGGATTTCTGCTGCTCTTCTTCCCATATAAACTGCTGATCTTTTCTTAACAGTTTGTTTAAAGGTTGCGCGATGTCAGAAAATTTGTCAATGAATCGTCTGTAGTAGCTACACAGGCTGATATATTGTTTAATATTCCTTGGATTTCTCAGCGTAGGAAATTGTTGGACCGCTAAAATTTTATCGTTGTGAGGTAGTAAACCGTTCTTTCGAGATTACATAACTTAAGTATACTACCTCTGATTTAAAATACTCGCATTTTTCCGGATTTAATACTAAATTCGCTTTTCTTAGACGTTCCATTAATTCCATAATACTCTCACAATGTTCCTCCATAGTCTTACTATGTACGCAAATATCATAGAAGAAGGTTACTACTCCTTTCATTTCTGTCGTTAAAAGGTGGATTAATAATAGAAAGACGAGCGCGCTTGTTTTCAGTTCAAAAGGCGACCTTCTAAACTGAAAAAGGTCTTGGTAGCATTGAAATGCTGTCACCTGCCTATCCTCTTTTCTAACTAGGCATTGATGATATCCTGAATAAAGGTCAATGACCAAGTATATTGTGGATCCTCCTAACGCATCTAACATATCGTCTACATTCGGCACTGGAAAATGGTAATCCGGAATCAGTGTATTTACTGCACGTAAGTCTATTACTGATCTTTTCTTGATTACGCCTTCAGCGTTCCTTTTCTTGTCTACGCAAAATATTGGAGACGAGTAAGGACTAAAAGACCTTTCAATTATACCTTGGTCGAGCATATTTAAAACTTGAGCATCAATTTATTTTCTTAACTCCGGGGGTTGTCTGAAAGGTCTTATGCGAATTGATATTTTGACGTTAATGGAATTTCGTGTTGGAGTAGATTAGTATATCCTAATTTATCTCCAGGTAAGTGATATCTGTCGTTGAATTTATTTATTATATAAACTATATGTTCCTTTTCATTTCAACTCAAATGATCCAGTTGTGATATGCCGATTATTTTTGATGCCCTATCTTCCGTATTCTGATTCATACTTATTTTGGCTATCCGCACGTGTTCGTCGATAGTAGGAGGCATTCGTGTCTTCCCCTTCAATAGAAACTTTACGGCGACCAAAAGTTGTTAAACCATTCGTTATTTATTGGACCTTTGAAGGTGGCTTATAGTTTTATATTTTTCGGTTATTTGTGCCACTCCCTGTAATCATTCTTTAATGTATTCTTTATCTCTGATTTCGTCCAATGTTTCGAGCAGAGTGGTTGCAGAATTAATTACTGATAAAAAGTAGCTCACGGAATATGGGTTATTACTTGTGTATGAATTCGTATTATTTAATACGTTAATACCTTTCTTAATCCTTTCCAATAGGGTAATTTCGTCAGTATTATCGTAACAATCTACACTTATGCGATCGTTGCTACTACTCTCTCTAATTTTCGACTTATGATGTGCCTGTATACTCAATTTATTTTCTGTCATTGAGAAATTCGTGGGGTGAATTTTATCATCGACAAAATTTTTATGGAGCGTTATTATGGCTTTGCTTAGCCCTACTTATTATATTGTTCTGAATAAATCATGAATTATCTTTCGCGGAACTTGGGAGTGCACTCCCGCATTCTTTGTTAGCTAATGCTAAATTACAAACTGAGTACGTACTTTGATTTATTTCTAATTTCGGATGTACAGATTTCAGGTTCACTCATTTTTCACTTCGCTAGCTTTTTCCAGTCCAATTACGGAATTACTATTCTCAGATTTTTTGTGTGGCAATTTACAGATTTCGAATTTTTGCAATTTTATTCCAATTTTATTTGAACGATTGTCTTTGTAACCACTCTGTCTAATTTTATTGACATAGTTTTTATCTGGCTCAAGATCAATCTTTGATTCTTCATTGCTTTCTTTATTAATGAGACTTCTTCTCGCAAATATGTCTAAATTGCTACGAATTTTTACTTGATTTCTGATTACTCCAGCGTAAGTTTTACAGTTTGTTATTGATTTTTAATAACTATTATCATCTTGCGATGTTGTATATTGATTATCAGCAGTTGCATTGTTTGTGGATATACAAAATACTTTATCAGCGATTTTTAAAATATTGTTTTTATAATCTATTTTAGCGTTGAATTTACGCAAACATTCACTGCCGATTAGTCCGTCTTCTTCAATAGGTAAATCATCGGGTACCATATGAAATACGAATTCTAAATCTTTTATTATAATATTTATTTTTCATAATGTTACTATACTGTTTTGTGTAATACCTCGCAACTCTAGAATATTCAATATATTCAGATATGCTTCGTCTGGTTTCTTAGACCATTTCAGTAGAGATGGTCCAGCACCAGTATTGTAGCGTCACTACATTTTTTTTATGCAATTACTGCGGATTCGTTTGTCAATTGCGCCTTTGCGCGCCATATTTGAATGTTGTGTGAGTGTGCGCAATGGGTGCTAGGACCCGCAATACGTAGCGCGGTGGCAGCACTGAACGGCGCTGCCTCGCCGCTATCACCAGGCACATTGCTCTCTTCCGGCCGAGTCGGCAGTAGTCGACTACTTCGTCCCGCGTGCAGAGCTCTTTCGCGACCAGCCGTCTTCTGCGAACGGCGTGCATACTTGCACCATTCGAATTCCGTAAATAAAAGGGTTTTATGCCGTTGATCGGCTTATTCCCTAAAATACGGAAATTAATTTATTACGAGCATGATTCCCACAACCAGTGACGGAGAAAAACAGTAATCTAGGAACCTTCGTTTGGGACTACAAGAACACAACGCATTCCGATAAGAAGATTTTCTCAAGATAAATTTGCGAAATCAAAAATTCAAACAAGGCTCTTTGGTGTCAACCCCAAAGTAGCCACGATAATTCATGGTGCCTCCTGTGAGGTATAAAATTCTACCTCTTGTTTCTCGGAAAAGAAAGTGACGTCGCGGGGATAGTGCGCGACACGTGTGCGTGTGTGTGTGTCATACAAAAGACAAAGGCGCTTAGAAGAGAGCGCACACGGACTGGTTGCAACATGACACCTTATCACCTTATCGCCTTTCTTCGCGCCAAAAAGGTCATCGAAGGCGCGGCAGCATAGTGACACGTGACCTACAGCGCTATCACTTGAAGAGCTTTGCCATCGCTTCCGACCAGGGGGACCTCACGATTGCCAGGATATCGTCACCGATATATGCAAGATAAGTCCATTCTTTGCACATCCACTTATAAATAATAGCCGGATTGATTATTGATATTAGCACTATCACTTCATAAGGCTAGGTGAAATACGGCCAAATTAACTGATTGTAAATAAGCCTCTATTTATATTTAGCAATTCGGTCCGAATTAAATCTAGAATTTAGCTCCAATTGATCATCCATTTCAAAATTAGTGCTGAAAAACAGAGAAATGGGAGACGAGATCGAGAAACGCGTCGCGCGCATCGTGCAAAAAAGCAACTCGTTCGAAAGAACGTTAAAGTCTCTCAGCGACTACCTACAAGGCGAAAATCCAGATTTAACGAACGCCGAGTTGCGTTTAAAATCGGCGCAGACTATATACAACGAATATGTGTATAATTACGAAGAATTACTTTCAATTCAACCAGATAACCCCCATGCGGTCGCGTATAGCGATCTCGAAACAACTTATTACGACCTCGCTAGTAAAGTCCAAAAATTAAAGAACGTGTCCCACGCTCCTCTAGCAAGCTCAACCATCTTACACGGCGCTTAGTCTATGGTCTTCGAGACACGCGTAGCAAAATTCGCGCCTATTCAGATTCCGAAATTTAACGGCCGACATGAAAATTGGACCACGTGGAAGAATAGCTTCCAAGCGCTCGTACACGATCACCCACAATACGACGGGTACACCAAGCACACTTAATTGGAAGGTGCAGTCGAAGGTTTAGCCACAGTCGTAATTAGGGAGTTCCCGCCCAGCGAGAAAAATTGCCCCCTAGCCTGCGAAGCATTGTGCGACGCCTACGATCAAAGGCGCATCGTGGTAAACGACCACATTGATTTCCTATTCTATCTACCGAAGATGAAGGAAGCAAAGCCGGAGCTTCTCGCAGATCTCATGTATTTGGCTCGTCAACACGTTACTATATTAAAATCACTCGAGGTGACCGTTGGCGACGAATTCATTATTCGTCTCCTTGAGACTTACCCCAGAGTGCAGCGTCGCGTTGGTTAGACAGTTTGTCGAGTAATTACATTCCCAAACTCGACGAATTATACGATTACGTACAAGACACCATTTTCAAACTCCGCCAAGTGAATAATATGTCTCAAAACCCATGTTTAACAAAAAAGAGGACAAGAGACAGTGACAACTTTCCCCAGCGTAAAATCCTAAAAATAGGCGCGCGGACACTCGCAACAACCGCCAACACTCCGACTACCGCCTGCGTCAAATGCGGTCAATCCCATCAACTATACAAATGTCCCGCTTTCAACGCTCTTAGAATCGGAGAGATGTGGGACATTGTGAAGACAAATAAACTCTGCAAAAACTGCCTTGGCGCTTACCCCCCTCCTTGCTCCAGCGAAAAAAGATGCAAGAAATGCCAAAGGGACCATCACACGCTTCTTCATTCAAACCATCCAAAGCGGAACCCCATCAGCCCGCGAAAGACTACGTCACCCGGAATTGCTTGGTTATGACCGACTTCGCGTCAGACTTACGCTTCGAACACGTGTCTACCGGACTCGCAGCTCATGACCACAGTAGTCCTACGATTCCTCACAAGTCAAGGAAACAGTTTCATGGCACGCGCGCTATTAGATTCTTGTTCCAACGTCAACCTAATGACTCAAAGGTTTCTCACCCGTTTACAGCTACCGACTAATCAATGCTTCGTTGATCGACTAATCAATGCAGCAGATGGCAACGCGAGCACGATTGCGGAAAGGTTTACCGAGGCCACTTTCCATTCAACGTATAACAACTTGAAACACCAATTGAATTTTCTGATAGTACCCAAAATCGCTGATAGAGTACCCAATGAGGCGTTTCCTCGAGAACAATTTGACATTCCAAAAAGCCTAAAACTAGCAGACCCCCAATTTCACGTGCCTAGGCCCATCGACGTCTTATTAGCTTCAGGTTCTATGATGTCGTCCCTCGCGATAGGTCAGATCAAGTTGGGTAACGAGAAATCACAGATCACGCTCCAAAAGATATCGTTCGGCTGGGTAACGGCTGGAGATTCAATGCCCACAGAGACTCCTAGCACCGTCTCGTGCAACGTTGTGAAATTGGACCAGCTCCTGGAACGATTCATGGCCGTCGAGGATCTTGACTATCGACCTGTCAAGGCTCGAGACGACGTGATCTGCAAGGAATACTACGTGAAGACCACCACTCGTAATAGTTCAGGCCGTTACACTGCCCGTTTACCTTTTCGACCGGAAACTTTCGAAATAGGCTCATGTAAACATCGAGCGTTGCAGCGACTCAGGGCGTTAGAGAGAAAGTTTAGCGCCAAACCTGCCTTCCAGGCCGAGTATAAAAGGGAAAGTCAAGGATATCTGGATTTAGATCACATGACACTGTGCGAGGACGACGTTGAGAATGGGTATTATTTGCCCCATCACGCAGTTGTAAAGGAATCGAGCGAAACGACTAAATGTAGGGTAGTGTTCGAAGCGTCTGCGAAAACATCGACCGGTATTTCATTAAATGATATCCTATTGACCGGGTCCATCATTCAGGACACCCTTTTACAGCAAATCTTGCGGTTTCGCACGCATTCTTTCGTCATAACCGAGGACATAGAAAAAATGTATCGACAGGTCTGGGTCCATCCAGACGACAGAAAGTTTCAGAAGATTCTGTGGTATTACGAAGGTAAGGTTCGAACTTTTCTCATCAACTTCAAAGTGTTTGGGATAAAATGCGCTCCCTTTCTAGCGATTCGAACACTATTTCAGCTAGCCATGGACGAGAGAGCGAACTTTCCCCAGACTTCACTACTTCTCCGTCGTGATTTTTACGTGGATGACTTTCTATCGGGTGCAGACACCTTGGAAGACATCCTCGCGATCCGCGACGAGATGATAGAACTCTTAAGTCTTGATAGGTTTGTTATCCAAAAATGGACATCCAATCATCCATTTGCATTAAAGAACATCGACAAGAAAATCTTCGATTTAGATTGTGGGATTGAAGGGAATCGTCTTAAGAAAACGCTCGGAATCGTTTGGGACTCCCAACTCGACATTTTCACGTACACAGCGAATTGTCATGATCCTCAATCCGTTTCCACAAAGAGGAAACTTCTGTCACAGATAGCAAGGATTTTCGATCCTTTAGGTTTGTTAGGTCCCCTCATCTTGAGCGCTAAGACCCTAATACAAAAATGCTGGAGAGCGAAACTCACGTGGGACGAACACTCCCTCAAGATATCCACACCAAATGGATTGCGTTAGCTGCGCAACTCCTTCAATTAGAAAAAAACCGCAATACCGAGACACTTACGATGCGTAGATCCAATCTCCACTGAAATGCACGGTTTCTGCGACGCATCGCTGTACGGATACGGTGCATGTTTATTCATTTGTTCCGTCCATTTATCAGGAAATGTCGCTGTAAGATTAGCCTGCAGTAAATCTAAGGTTGCTTCTTTCAAACACCACACGATGCCCCATTTTTTGGCCGGTGCTGCCCTCTTAAAACTACTGTACAACGAATCCAAGGCTCAGCTATATTCTCCTAATAAACGAGTGATATTCTGGACAGACTCGATGATCGTTCTCTACTGGTTGAAGAAGGCTTCTCACATGTTGCGAACATACGAGTCCAATAGGGTAGCTGACATCCAAAAACTGGACGACGAGGTCGAATGGAGACACATCCGCTGAAAGGACAATCCAGCAGATGCGCTGTTACGAGGACAGCTGCCAAAAGAACTTTTAAACAACACCTTTTGGAAATCGGGCCCTCATTGGTTGACTCTGCCTGATGACTGCTGGCCCCGGACTTCGAACGCCCCTCCAAAGGACTTGCATGGTTTGAAGGAAGGAATGGTTCTAGTTACCACTCTGTCTGGGAGCGATATTTATGCCCGTTTTTCCGATTACGGTTGCCTCGTCAGGTCGATTGCGTATATCCTTCGTTGGAAAGCGAAAGAGCCACCGATCGACAGCCTGGGGGTGGTTAGGTCGGGAAAAGTTGTACGTTACCTCTCTCCTATCGAAATAGGTCACGTGGAACGTCTCATTCTTCTTTTGATCCAACGCGAGAGTTTTAGTTTCGAAATCAAACTTCTTAAATCTACTCAGACTCAGGGTTCTAGGATTGTTAGGTGCGCGAGCAGAAGTCGAACTAAGTTCGACTAACTTAATCCTTTTCTGGACGACGACGGTTTGATTAGATAAGGCGGTCGCCTGAAATGGTCGGATCTTCTTTTTAATCAAAGACATCCGATATTGCTTCCGAGTAATCATTCCGTTTCCGATCTCATAATTCGCGACGCTCACCATAAAATTCTTCATGGTGGAATTCAATCCACACTCTACGCCGTGCGTAATAGATTTTGGATCCTCAACGGAAGAAATCAGGTTAGACACGTCATATATCGATGCGTGCCGTATATTCGAGAAAGGCCGAAATTTTCACACGCGAAAATGGTCGATTTACCTGAATCTAGAGTAGCTTCCGGGTTTGCGTTTAGTCAAACCGGAGTCGATTTTTTTGGCCCAATTCTAATTAAACAAAAGAAAAACTGCAATCGCAGTTTCACCAAGGCTTATGGTTGTGTTTTTGTGTGCATGGCTTCAAAAGCCGTTCACATTGCGGTAGCTTCCGACTTGTCTACTGAAGGCTTCTTAGCATGTTTTCGTCGATTTATTAGTATTTGCGGCAAACCGCAGGTAGCAAAATCCGACAACGGGACAAAGGCTACAGCGGGTTAACAATATTAAAATTGCCTAAGAATGAATTGTTATCGGGGATCAGTCATTCGAAAGAGCATATTTGGAGGCTCTCTCACCTAAATTTTCAGACCCCTAGGTGGCAATAGAGTGCCACAATCGTAAAAAACGGGTTTTTGTGAAAATAATTTCTCCTGCTTTACTGTTTGCTCCAAACATTCTGAAAAAATTTATGGATATTAAATTTTTTACTACAAAATAGCCCGATTTTTTTCAGATTTATTGGATAAAAATCGAAGTTGGAAAAAATTATTGAAATTTCAATGATTTTTTAGGTTATGAAGGTAAACATTGGCTAACATTTACATAATCATTTTTTATGTATTTTTTCCGGTAATTTCGAATGCATTTCTTCAAATTATCATATTTTGACCAGAACATGCTCAAAAACTGAAAAAACCGTTATTTTCCGCGTTTTTCCCATGTTTTTAGCACATAACCTCAAAATTAGATACTTCACTAGGTACTAAAACACCTAAAAATACTCCAGGACTCTTTTTCTGTATGCAAGAATACCAAAAAGTAGTTTAGAAAAATTTTCCAACTCCTAAAAATTCATAAAGTCAAATATTACTTCCCTGGAACTGCAAAGAGCCTATTCAACCAACTTCAAGTACAGAAAAACTCCGTATCATTTTGAAATTATTAATTATTATAATGAAATAATATCCTTGAGTAAGTAAGTGTATAATTATAGTAGAAATTAGAATAATGTTTATAAAAAATATAAATATGTGCATTCAATTTGTTCATGAAATGTATTGTCAATGTAAATGTGATAAATCTATATCAATTAAAATTTACAAGAACTTTAACATTATCAATTTTAATTACAATATTATTCTTAATCTTCATCACTATCTTCATTTATAACTGGATCAATATCTATGGAGTAAAACAAATCAGAAAGAATTTTTGCTGGTCTAATAATTTTCGATTGATATCTAGCATTACTGAGATAGTATATAACTGCTGCGGTAGGTGAGCAAGAGCCTACAGTTCGTAATCCGTTCGCACAGTCGCATGCGTGTCGTAGAATACCGCTATAGCCGATTGAATTAGGCTTGTATTCAACGTAGCACTTATAGGTCTTACTATTTATATGCCTGGATCTTACTAATACTTTAATAATATTTGGTTTCAACTTAACATACTCCAAATTGATATTTTGATTATCATCCATTAATTCAGCCAAATAACAGACGGCTTGACCTATTTGATAGGTACCTGAAAAAAAATCTTAAGATCCCGTTCAGTCATCTCCGGGAAGTCAGTTATTTCATTTGACGTTAGTTTAGTAATAGTAGTAGATCGTGTAGACCATCTGGCTGTCGCAACTTCTGATGCCAAAGTATTTTCATCTTGATTACATTTCAGCATTCTTTCAATAATTATGTCTTGCAATCCATCTTCATCTTTATCGCTGTTCAAACGCTTTCCAAAATGGTTGTTGAGAAAATAAGCGATTCTACAATATGCGCCAGCTTTTGGTAGAAGCGTGTTATCCAACTGCTGGTGGAGAAGTTTATATTTTTTCCCGAGAATACCGTGAACGGCCTCTACTACCCATCTCAATTTTGTAATATAACGAGATTCATTTGATTCAGATGTTGTCAAGTTGGGCCTTTTCCCTTTCAAGGCGGACATAAGAACCCTATATCCAAGACTTTCTAAATAAGGTACCACATCCCTAAAACCTCTATCCACAATACAAACATCACCTTCTTTCATGATAGTTCTTACACCATTCGGATCTTCCATCACTTTTTTCATAATACTTGCATCGTTTTCCGTAGCTAAGAACGGACCAGGAATATCTACGACGAACCCGTTTGTGGTGCAAATAGTAAATGGCTTAATCAAAGGATATTCTTTATGACCTGAATATGATTTCCGTTGATAGTCATTATTTTTACTTTTTTGATGACGTAAATAAGTACCGTCAAATACCAAAGCAAGCACGTTCGTTAAACTAAAAAGTTTTTTCAGAAAAATAGAAGTATGATCACGAATTAATTCTTCCCTTGAGATACTTTTTACTCCAAAGAATATGGGTAAGATGTATTTTTCAAATGAATTAATTACCGATTCGCAAAAACCTGAGACTTTTATTTCATTATCTATTCCAAAAATAGACGAAATAAAATTATTCGATGATCCAGTCCGTAGTTTGAATAAAAATATGACCAAAGCTTGTGTAACGTCCCTAGAATGTGATGATCTCATGGAAACTAACAATTTACTCAACTCTTGTAATTAATTATCAGAGAGACTTGTAAAAGAAAATAATTGTTTCTCGCTAAGCTCTGATGATTTAATTTTATCTAAGAATGTTTGCGACGTTAAGTCTGATATTTCATACAAAAATATACATATTTCATCTGCAGTTAAAAAATTTGTGTTACAGTATACTTGTATTAATTTTAATTCATCTTGAAAAAATCGTTTTTTGATTAAATGTTTTGAACAAACACGATTGCCATCTGGAATAAAACTTTTCAATTCATTGAAACATTGTAATCTTGCATTCAATGGCACAAGAATCAATTTATTTGTATCTTTACAGACACAACACACGCTATGAGAGGCAAAAGTTCTTTTAAGCGGTAGCTCTATAGTAGGTTTTATGTCTTTAGGATTATTTAATTTTACCCGAACTCTGTGAGCTAGGTACTTCCTGAGAACTCGTTGGCTGACTTTGATCACTACTTGATGGTTGCTCATCAACTTTAGATTTTTTTGTACCAAAAAAAACAAGTCTTCTACATTTATCACAAAGTTTAGATCCAACACTGAAATTATCTATATTTAATTGTTGAAGAACAGCTTCAACTTCACTTTCTAAATTAATAATTTTTAATTGTGTAGCTGTCTTACTTAGATTTTTTTTGGAGCAATTGCAACATTGGTCAGTTGCATCAAAATTATCCATATTTTATGAAAAAACTGAAATGAAACAATTGTAAAATTTATTATGGGATTATGCGTATTATTAAAAAAATTTATTGCTAATTTTTAAAGAAAAAGGTGAATAAATCTATTAAAGAGTCATCCTTGGTAAATATTTTAAGCATTTATATAGTAAGATCTATGTCTACTCGTACAAAAAAAATCACAGAATTGACATAGATGTTATAGTAAAAAAATGGACGAATGGATTTACCACATAAAAAGAAAAATATTTTAATGTAGTTAGACAAGCTACTCAAAATTATGAGGCACCCCCAATTCCGCTTCATTTTATTTACGATTTTCAAGCTTTACAGAGCCTTGGAGTTTCGAATTTTTTAGTAGTCGTTCCCAATATTTTTTTTATTCAAAATTAATGTCTTTATTAACAAAAAAAATGGGAGGAGGAAAGGAAAGAATGGACAGAAATGTTTAAAGAAATAATGGGAAAAATGGAAAGAATGGAGGCAGAGGGGAAAAGAAGAGAAGAAAGGTGGGAGAAGGAAATAGGAAAAGTTAGGAAAGAACAAGAGAGAGAGAGAGAAGAAAAAAAGAAAGAGATGAAAGAAGAAAGAGAAAAAGCAGAACGTAGAGAAAAGAAACTGCAGGAAAAATGGGGAGAGAAGATGGACCAGTTGGAAGAGGAATGCGTGAAACTAAAAGAAAGCATAGAAGGAGGAAATAAGAAGCAAAGAGGTACAGAAGTAGGCAATAAGGAAGAATTAGAGCATATGAGAGAAAAAATGGATAGAGAAAGTAGGATAAACAATATAATAGTGACAGACCTAGAGGGGGAGTTAAGATGGGAAAAGAAGGGTGAGGCAGAGGTCTGGTTAAGGGAGGTACTAGAAATGAAAGGAGAGATAGTGAATCTGAGAAGAATAGGAGGAACAACGGAGAGAGATGAGCGGAGAGAAAGAAGAAAAACATGTGGCAAATTAGATGCGCGTCATGGGAACAAAAAGAAGGAATTATGAAGA